GGATTGTGAGAGGGATGCCTGACTGCTGGTTTAGGCCCGATCCCCGGGCCTAAACTGGCAATCAGATATCCCCTGAGGGGTCCCAGATTAGAGAGGGTGCAGGCTGGGCTGAGGAGACCCCCAGCCCATGCACGAATTTCGTGCACAGGGTCTCTAGTGTATTCAGAACAAAGTATTTTCAGAACAAAACTTGTGGTAGCATTTCAGATGGGATGGGGAAATTTGAGGTTAAGTCTGAAAATTAGGAACTATTATATTAAGGTTAGAATTGTTCTATAAAGAAATTATAGATGAAATTATAAAAGTAGGGTTTATTTATATATGTGCAAGTAAATAAATAAGCTTTTATCCACAGACCACTAGAAAATTCTATATAGTTTATTCTGTCCAATATTTAAAATTATGTTAGAAAGTAATGGGGTCTCAGTGTAAATCTCTTGTTTTCTGAATTATCCTCCCCAGGAGAATTAAAAGGTGTTGATCATAGTTGAGGCTCAAATGAATTTAAGTCCTAAGGGCCCAAAACTAGACAAAAAATTCTCAAGGAAGAAAAGCCAGTGGAACGAGTTCTTTTAGGAGAAGCAGAACAGGACTCAGCACAAGTCGAAAGGGCACAGAAGAAGACACAAACATAAATGGAGACAGTCAGGAGCCAGGCTGAAACCAGAGAGCAGAGAAGCCTCGTCAGAAATAACTGATCTGAAGAGCTTTGGCTCCCTAATGGGGGTTGGGCATATGAGCGGGTTTAAAGGCAAAAAGTCTCTTGGCTCCACAGATCTAACAAGTGTTTCTGAAAAAGAAAAAAAAAAGACAAAAGATGATTAGAAAGGATTATTTTATTCCTTTAGAAAATATGAGCTCAGAGAACACAAAGCAAAATTTTTCCAAATCTACTCAAAATCTTGACAGACATGGAGCTATGTTTATCTGTCCATTTCCTTATAGAATTTGCCTTAATGCTTCTAATTATTGCCATCATAAAAAATGTAATATTAAGAAAATATAAAATTGAAGTGATAACTATTCATTTTAATTACAAGAAAGGTATCACCCAGCTGGTGTATCTCAGTGGTTGAGTGTCCACCCATGAACCCAGAGGTCACTGGTTTGATTCCTGATCAGGGTACATGTCCAGGGTTGTGGGCTCAATCCCCTGTAGGTGATGTGCAAGAGGCAGCTTGATTGATGATGTCTCTCTCTCATCAATGTTTCTATCTCTCTATCCCTCTCCCTTCCTCTCTCTCTAAAGATCAATAGAAACATATTTTTTAAAAGTGTCACTGTTAACTCATGGAAATTTTTGGGAACAAGAGATTTGGAATATCTATATACCTATTGAATATGCAATTGCTTTTTCTGGGTTATTTCCCCAACAGAACCAGTACATTACAAATATGTTTAGACCATTATTATCTGAATAAAATTAATGACAAGAAAATACCATGAGGCGATTTTGATAGCTGCTTGTATCAGGAATGCCCATCTTTCAAAAAAAGAGGAAACAATATTAAATATACTTAGATAGTTGGGTTTGGTCTTCTCAATTTTATTCAAACCTGTGAGGTGTGGATAAAATTTGCACATGTGTGTGTCACCTAGGGTTCACTACAGGAAACAGAATAAGCTCCAGGTACTTTAAGTAGACAGAAAGTTAATAGAGAAAATTAAAAGCTTAAAAAATAATTGGAAAGGCAGAGATTGAGATTCTAGGGTGAGTGTCAAGGACAGAACACTGCAGAAATGACCTATTGGAAACTACTAAGTCAGAAAGGTGAGGAATCCAGAAGTCACTACTGTCGTGTCAAGGGATCTGAAAAAAACCCCGCTGCTGCCACCACAATAGCCTCTCAAAACCCTTGAAGTTGGATGCTGAAACCTGTCACATAAAACTGGTATCTTCACAATCACACTTATTAGCAGAACACAATGCAAGCAGCAGGAAGATGACCTCCACTTGACTTCTACTTTCCAAATCTCAGCAAGTGCATCCAATTGGTTGAACCTAATTTGCATCTGCAACTCTAATAGCACAGGAATCTAGGAAATGCAGTTTTTAGCTTTCCAGCTTCTGCAGTGCAGAAATGTACACTCTATAGAGGAGAATGGTTGCCAGTTGGCCACATCCACCATACTGTCACTCAGAGACTAGAAATTTCTTATCCAAGGTCATAGAACTAGCGAGTGCTAGAGCAACACACTTGAATTCCTAGATGTTGGCCCCTTGCCCAGTGCTCTTTCCACTACATCAGTCTACAGCACTGATTACTCTCAGAAGACGTTTGCCAAAGGAGACATATTTTCAAATCTTGTGCTAATTATATTTTTCACTGAACCATTAATTCAGGCATCTGTGAATACTGTTACCTTTTAGTCTTATGTCAAATCTAGTTCTTCTTCCAAACTCAGACTTAATCTTATTTTACAGTACTTACAGTTAAACCAACACTGCAAGGGTTTAATACCTTTGAGTATTTTTCTCAGCAGGCTTGCTGCTTAATCCATTTAATGTCAGAACACAAACCTTCTTATTCAAAGGGGGGAAGGACATTATTAGAGACTGCATTAGTGGCTTTCTTTCTGCTGGATAGAACCTGCCAATATGGCAACATTTGTGCCTTATTATTATTTCAATTTGTATTCTGCTAATCATAAAAAAAGGAAAGAGTTGGGATGTCAAATCCTCTTGAATTTTAAACATACATAAAAGAAAAATAGAAGAATGAAAATTCTCTTTATATACAATCTAAAGCACTCTAGCAAGATTCAGATTGGTGTTTTTCTTAATATAAGTGTATGCTGACTCTTTTTTGTTTTTTGGTGTGTGTGTTTTTTGTTTTGTGTGGTTTTTTTGTGTTGTTTTTTTTTTGGTGGTGGATGTGGTGGTAGTGGTGGTGACCGGCTTTAAAAGATCATGTTAAAAATTGGCATAAATCTGTGTGCTCATAACATCTTAGTTTAAATAAATAAATAAATAAATATGGAAAATACATTATCTCACAAATATTTGAAAACCCTGAACTCTTTATATTATAAAATAATCTGTTTGGTATTTCTTTCAATGCCCATGTACTCCAAAATAATTATTTGATTTCCATGCTTTTTTTTTCAGAAACACATCTACTTTATCTGATTTTTTATTTATAGACTGAGATAATCAGAATGGATTCAACCCAAAGCAGGGACTGAAAGAATGTAAGAAATTGGTCCAAAAACTGGGAATAAATTGAATCCTTCTAACGCATTTCCATCAGGACTCCTTGGCTGTAGAGGCAGATGGGAAGTCAATCTATGTTCAGGCAGGAAAGAGGCTCAAATAAAGTGTAAAGTTTTACAAGGGAAATTCTTCCACCCTGCCTTAGGAGGGAAGGGTGGAGAACAGGACACTCCACCCTCAGCTACATCCCCTTGATTAATTATGTAACCAGATCTCCTTTATCATGATCAACTTACCAATCAGGTAATGGCAGATTTTCCCAATGCTTTGTATAGAGTTTAAGTAAGGAGTGTCCTGAGACCCTTACTATACTTGTTTTGCATAGCATTGATGTGAACAGATATAACTGGGGGTGCAAGTGAACATTTTCCCCAAGATTTTTAAAAAGCTACTGCTTTAGCATGTATGATTTACAGATATAAATACTGGTTATGGATGCATTATAAAATCTTACCACAAGTCAAGGAGTATATTATATGCAAGCAAGTTGATAAAGAAGACATTTCAAATTTACAGTTTTAAGAATAAGTAAAAAATATTTGTAAGGTATTAGAAACTATTAGCATTTTAGTATATATAACTGACTGGTGACTACAACAAAGTGAATAATTTGTGGTTAGTATAAACCAGCTAAATTTTTTAAATGCACAACTATCTACACATACATTCCTCAGCCACAGATGCTGAAAATGAGGGTTTGGGCTTCTGAGTTTGTTTTTAACCTGGAGGAGTGCAGAAATCTCACTTGAGTTGTCTTTCACTCGTCATCCGTTTCCTGGAATCCCAAGGGTTAGAGCAAGTTCTAAAGCTTTATCTTATGTAAGCACTGGGTGATTAATATACCAGACCTGGCCCCACCTCTCAGTGAAACAGTTATCAGGCTTCAGATAATGATTTTGTCTCTGAATTTTTAAACTTGAGGGTAAATGGTGATTTGTTTTCACTCTTATTGTTTTCTCTTTTTATTGGAAAAAATGTCAACATATGGAAAAGTTGAAAGAATAATACAATAAATACCTGAAAACCCTTCACAATTGTGTATGAATGTATAAATATACGTGTGTGTGTGTGTGTGTGTGTGTGTATCTTTTGCTAGACCATTCTTAAGTTACCAGTACCAGGATATTTCACATTTAAATGTTGCAGCATGCATTTCCTGAGAATAAGAATTTTTCTCCTATATGACCACAATATAATTATTAACCCCCAAAATCCTAATACCCAGGCCACAACCTATATCAATTACATCAAGGTCTCTGGAAGGCATCAGTATTTTTTACAGCTCCCAGCTGATGTACAACAAAGTTAAGCCCCACTGTCTACAATTGTTAAAATTCAAGTTAAACACTTTCAAGAACACGTTTTTATTTTTTAATGTGCATAAGAATGTGCTAGCCTCTTAAAGTTGAACAGATCTAAATTATAGTTTTCAAATCAGTGTCACAATAATGTACTTGTCCTTAAGTTTTTCATATTACGTTAATGTAATTTTCTTCACTGAGGCCACACCGGCCAGGCCAACTTTCTTTTCAAATATTCCTTTAATATAAATGTATTTGAACTTTATTTTAGTTTCTTCTTCATTATGATTTAAAATGCATAAAATAAGTATTGTTATGTAGATCCTAAATACCTATATATAGATAAAGCTAAAAGGTTTTTATATGTGTAAAAACTTTATACATATATATTATTTGATAAAATGGTTAATAAATCACTTTATCTTAGCATGTGAAACATAAAGCTTCTTTGTAACATTTCTCATAATCAAATTTCACATTTATAATAAAAAGTGTCCAGCAAGCAAAAACCAAAATGAAGGGGTTAGCTATACCAAACATCCCCAAACTTTTCCAGTTCATGGCACTTTTAGTGTTCCAGTAATATTCCATGGTGTGGCATGCTGAAAGAAACACCAATCAGTACTACTCACTAACTAGTTATGTCCAAACTTATTATATATGTCTATTCTAACAACTTAGTAGCTGTTTTAAAAAAATAATACACATACATTTTTTGAAAGTTTATTTCATTCTTAACAGGATGTGCATGTCTGGTTGGCACTTTATAACTTCTCAGAACCTGGAATTGGATTGGAAACCACTACCCTAGTTTCCTGTTCTATGATCCTTGTGTTTTATAATAGCAACTTACAAAAACCCAGCCTCACAAAGGTGTGATGTCATCAATGGGTATGGTTTAATGGTGAGGTTCTTTGAACTACCTGGAGCTAATGATCTGCATCATTTTTAGCGGATATCATTGGGTTGCCCTTGAAAAATTTAAATATCCCACGATGATGCCCTTGGTGTTGGCTGTGGCACCCTTGGGGTGCCTCAGTACACACTTTGTAAAGCACTCTCTAAAATATCTATAATAATAAAAGCATAATATGCTAATTAGACCAAATGTCCTTCCAGACATCCTTCCTTCCGGACAAAGCCTCAGCGGGCGGGGGCCACAGCAGCTGCGGGCAGGGGCCGGGGCCAAGGCCTTGCACTAATTTCGTGCATCGGGCCTCTAGTTGACTATAATTATAATGTGTGAATCTAGTATGTAAAAGAATATGAGTGAAATAGATCATTCTGAGGGCCTGGGATAAGGAGCTGCAGGATTGAAGAGGAGATAAAAATTGTGATAAATGTTCTATCTGCATGCAATACCATTTCCTCCCAACTTTACTTAAAAAATAAAAATGCCTACCCATGCTTCAGAATTCTGCCCAAGCTCGTTCAGGCCAACCTCCCCTAACCAAGTCAAATTCACCTGTTATATTCTCAGAGTACTCATTTTCTAGCACTTATCACAGTTACAATTATGCAGTCAGTTGCATAACTACTTAATTCTTGTGTCTCCCATTGGAAATTCAGCTCTAAGAGGGTAGGAATGTGTCTGATACTACCATTGTTTCCCAGTGTTTGTGGGCTTGCTACTCCATAAACACTGAACTCCCCTGTATGCACTGTCGTCTTTGGGAAGTTGCTCCATCTTTTGCCTTACACTGAAAGCTGGCTCTCTCTGAGGCTATCATTGTCCTAACATTTGGGAAGTTCTCCCAAATGGTGCCTAATTATTTTCTCTCATCACACATCCACGACATAGTGTTGATGTCCACCTGGTTCCCTGTTACCACTCCCAGATCCCTTTTACTTCATAGTTTGCAAAGTTAAAATATAAAACAAACCCATCAACCATAAAACACACCTGTTTCTTTGTAGCTCATGCTATAATACTCCCCCCCGCCCATCACAACAACTTTGTCTTTCTGATCCTAAATTCCCAGCCTATACATTTCACCCACCACCCTCCTTTTCCCCAGCTTCTGTACAGCAATGCTCCTCAAACTTGATGTACATTTGACTCACCTGGGGGATCTTGTTAAAGTTAGACTCTGGCTTGGTAAGGACATCCAGAGAAGTTGTGGACCACTTTGAAGAGTGAAGCAGCAGATGACCTATTTCTGCTTTATGTAACCTACTAAAGTCCTGATTTCCTGTTTGTGCTTTGGCACCAATCCCTCCTGTCTTCCTTACACAGCAAATCTCAATTTCTCTCCTCTCTCTCAACTGCTTAAGTATATCACCTACTAAAAAAAATAAAATTAAAAAAATAAAAAAATTAACTCTTTACGCCCCCTAGCTACCATTTTAGGTCCCTCTCTTTCACAGCCAAAGTTTTCAAAAGCGAAATTGTGTTTGCCAACATCATTTCATCTCTAATTCTATCTGAATTGCAGGTCCATTCGCCCACCAACATAGAGTCACAAAAGTCACCAATGACTCCATGTTGAAAAGTCAAAACATATATTTTCAGTTCTCATTTTATTGGAACCTCTTAACAGTATTCAATACTGTGAACCACTCCTGACATTTCTCTATCTTGTCCTCTATGCCACAGTAGCCCCCTTATTCTCCTGTTATCAATCTAGCAACTCTTTTTTGTTGGTTTTGCAGGACCAACAAAAAGTAATGCATTATCTCCTATCCACAGATTAGATATAACATATTAAAGTTCTTTGGGGGCCCAGTCCTTCTTTTTTAGTATATATTCACACCCTATAACTTCGATGCTCTTGCCACCTAAATGTAAATGACTTCTGAATCTGTCTCCGGCTTATACACCTTCTTTGAGTTACAAACCTGTATGTGCTGTGGTCTACTTGACATCTTCTCTTAGATGTCTCATAGGTAAGAAATCCAAAGCTGAATTAATAATTTCTCACCAGTACATTCCATTATCACATAACCAGACACATAGTCCAAAAAACTTATGTTTTTGACACCTGCCTCTGTCTTCACTATCATCTATCTGCTCCATTTTCCAAGACCTCCAAAATACCTTTGGAATCTATTCAGTTTTCTTTATCTCCACAATCACCTCCACCTCAGCATCAGTAATTGCCACCTCTTGGCTGGGCTACTGTAAATAGTTTTCCAAGGAATATTACTTCCATCCATTCTACTCTGCTCCTCTCTCTTTAAACTGCTCTTCACACAATATGGTATTATTTTTGAAACACAAGTATGATCATTTGTGCCCTTCTCCCCGATCATGTTTTAGCCCCGTATACTTGCTAGCCTCGTGCCTAAAGGGACATCACTTTACTGTTTCACTGGCTTGGAAAGCTCTTCCCCTCTGTCTTCTAGCTAAGCCGACTTTATCCTTCAAACCTCAGCTTAATCATCAGTTTGGGGGGAAAGTCTCTTTTCACCTCAATGAGTAAGTCAAACCTATCTACTAGAAAATCATATTGAGTCATGTACTTCTCCATGGCATTCACCAAGAGCAATGTCACTTTCTGTTTTTATTCACCATTGTCTCCACAGTCCTAGCACAATTCCTGGCACATTGGGAGTTACCACCCAAAACATCTCTTGATTTAATGAGTAGAGGGGATAATTTCAGGCCAGGAATCCCAAATGGTATGGCATTTAGCTGGGCATGCCTCTCTAATATCATTAAAGAATAAGGCAGAGGGAGATAAATTATGAATATCACAAAGAACAAAATGTAATAGTATTTGCTGGAATATTTAGATGTAAGTTGTAGGGGAACTGAAGATGATTCATGGGTTGATCAGGAGAATGACAGAGCCAATGAAAAAGTTTCAGCTAAAGACAATGAATTTATTGATACACAGAATTTGAGGTAAACAGACGTACCAGGTGGGAATGGCTTATACATTTTAAAATTTAGGAATGGACATGGTGTGAAATGTCACCCAGACATCTTAACCTGGATGCCCTTTAGCTCCTGACAAGCGAACATACTCCTCTGTGTTCACTGGGTTAACAGCACAGAAAGAGTCAGGAATCTTGGAGTCATTTAAGATAGCTCTCTCTTCCTCTATGACCTTATTCTTTTCTATCATCTATATTTTCTATCTTTTGCCCATTCCACTGCCACTCTCATGGACTTACACCTGCATTATGTCAACAAATCCCTAACTACTCTCCCTGCAACCAGTCTTCACTTCCTGTCATCCAGTTTTCACTCTCTTTCCCAGAGTGACAGAATATCACTTTCCTGCTAAACATCTTTGAAAAGCTTTTGTTGCGTAGGGAATAAAACCTAGGCCCTCTATCAAGGCCTTATGATTTGACCCTAACATTGCTGGACGTCCCTTCCAGCCCCTCTGTCCAGCTATAGCCGACTACTTACTAGCCCCCAGTGTCCCCCGCTTCCCTCTTCTTGCTTCCTTCCTTTCAGCCCAGTTGAAATCTGACTACGAATAGCAAAAGCGATTCTGGCTGGGGGAAAGCAGTTATGAAGTAAAGAGACCAAAAGCAAACCAACAAACACACACAAAAAGCCAAGGAAACTCCTAGCTTTTAGATTCCAACTCTGTGGCCTTCTGAAGCCTTCCCCTCTGGTTACCTGCCGGCTCACTGCCATGAATTCTTAGCCTAAAGTAGAGGTGAGTCACTGCCTCTCCTGTAGGTGAAGTTAAGCTCACCCTTTGGCACGTCTGTCCTTAAGCTCACCCTTTGGCACGTCTGTCCTTAAACTCGTCTTTGGCACGTCTTTCCTTAAGATCGTCTAGCTACAAAGAGTTCGGCTACGCACAATTTGTGATTACACCTTTTCCAGGGGTGAACTGTGACCACAGAAGCCACCCCTTGACCTCAAGAGCATGGCGACTAGGGGCCGCCGTTACGTCTTACGTCATCACGTGCGGGGAAGGTGGGGGCCCTTAAGGCGCTTTGGGGGCGTGGTCAAGTCGGACGGGGCGGGGCTATACGGGACTGGGCGTGGCCAGAGAGGGGTCGGGGGCGCTTCAGCGATTCGCCAGGCGCGCGCGGCGGTGCGA